AAGCGCTAAATTTAGCTGGAAGCAAGAAACGGAAAGTAAACCAGTTAACGAAACTATTATTAACATTGCTGTATTACTATTACACGTTGAAAACAATAGCTGGTGCACGGATTGAATGAAACAACAACTGGAGTTGTAAGAAAAGTCATAGTATACGTGCTAAGTTGAAACAATAACCCACGTTCATTATTAATTCAACTAGGAGTATTGCTCCAAGCAGTAGATGCTGACGATTACTTCATGCCCACGTAAATTTATCAATCATTTAAGCGTTTGAGGTGGTGCTGGAAGGAATACACGCGTGTTAAAAGTGCGCTAGTTTTGTGTTACTTGTGGTATTTTAATGTGGAAAACACGTTTTCGCGCGTTTACTCGCGAGATTCGTGTGTTTATTCGAATTGAGGCGACGGTAATAATAGAATTACATGGTTTGAATGTTTTCATTGCACTCGATTACAGAATAAATCTCAAATAATGTCTAAGCAACTAAGAATAATTGATTTTACTGCGTTTGAAACTTGTTTTCGCTGATATTTTCTGCGACAAACAAAAATTTATGAAGTAATATCTAAATATATCTAGACGGAGTTAATGAGTGTACAAATATTAATGTTAAAACCAATTACGACATTTATTTATTTACCACAGCGATATTAGGGTCATGATTTTGTAAATATCTCTGAATGTTATTTGAATTTGAATTTGGACGCAAATTATTTATTGGCAACGTGTAGTAAAACGCAATGAAAGCAAAGGAAATGTTATGAAAGGACAGGAAACGCAAAGACGAATTAATCGTGTGCGTGCCAAATGAAGAGTGGCGAAATTATGGATGAAAGTTGAATTGGGCCAGCGACCGGAATAGAAGGCGGAATAGGCGGATAGGAAATCGATATATGCACGTACGGGAGGCAGGAGGCTGATGATGATGATGGAAAATAGAGCATGATGGGACATCACATTTGCCATATTCACGCAGAATGTGTCAGGTCAGGCCACCACACTCAACATAACTCGGTTGAGCTAAATTTATCACCAAACAAATTTCACATCCGACCCAATCAACTAAATATTACATTTTTCAATAAAAGATAAGAAATTATTTTTTCAATCGTTTTGCGCGTATTCTCAGGATGACAATTTCATTTTATTCTATTCTTAGCCTTGGAAGGTCCTTATGTCAACTCAGATCCTTCCTGGTCTATCTCTACGTATACGTCAACTTCGCTTCTAATAAACGCCTTGTGGATTCGTGTGATGCGCGCAAACACGTCTTAATGGTCGACGGAAAAAGCTTCCCTCTGACATTTGGACATTCTGTTAGGCTGAACCCCTGAAAACCTTTTATCCGAAATAAATCCGCTCGAAAATGTGTGATCTAACACTCGAAACATTTTATTTTATGAGTTTGCCTCCGAAAAAAATTACAGCGACATAAAAACGCACTTAAATCAAGTGTAACATTTGATGTCTACTGATTTACGAATTAATGAGCAACAGATGATGCTTCTCAAGTTTTTTTTTGTGTGTGCACTGTATAAATAAATTGCGCATTTGGTTGCATAACCGTTTGCTTACTTAAGGGAAGTGCGAGAAATAAAAATAAGATCGTTTCCGTTCCGAATGTTATATCATCTATTTGTTTGCGTGTAGCAGGCACAGCTAAGTATAATAAATAGCTGGCCGCACTTTATTTAGTACGCAATGCACCGCACAGCGGGCACATCTATTTCCGGATGGAATCAATCAACATTCAATACCAAGTGCAACCAAATTGGTTTCAGCCAGATAAACACAAAACCATAAAAATGCAACGCAAAGTAATTACTTCAAAATATATAACTGGTGTATTAAAGTTGAAAGGGTAGTTGGAGAGATAACCTTGGGGTTATTTTACCCTCGAATCAATTCCAATCCCTTTGAGATCGCAAAACATCACGTCGTGTAGTAAGTAAGACTTGTCTGCCGGCGAGTAAACCCCTCTTCCGTTCGGTTCCTGAGCAAATAATCCGTCAATCACGATGCGTTTCAGTGTGTTTTGCACAGCCGGGAACAATGCAAGGATTCGGCAGTATTTAGAGTCTGCGGTTCGGCATATTGCACTCGGCAGACAATGTTATTTGCTCATATTTAGACGCTCGGGGGTACAATGCACAAATGGTGCATTATTTACCATCAGATGCGGTTCGTAGCAATCAATTTCTCTCTTCTTTTCTTCTTTGAAGAATTCAGATTGGAAATTGAAAATACGCCGGCTTCTTTTATCTGTGAATTTTTTACTACTAGAGTTTTACGAGTTTTTCTCGTAAACTTATTTATAAGTTTCGTAGCGCATGCGTGGCCAGCGCGGAATAGTGAGAATTATTTGTATAGTGTAGTTGTTTATTCCTGTCCCTGGGTTTCGGATGCGTTGGGAGAATGTGTATGTTTGTATCGTCGTTTTGTTTATTCGCGGCGATGACTCAAAACTCGCCTATGTTCGCCTAGATTTTGAGCCAGCCCAGTAGCAAGCACCTACGAACCGTACGAAATTGTCCTCGCCAAATGGCGAACGCCGATATCGTGTTCGTTTCGTTCGTGTTACTACATTACTACAATGACCCAGAATCTAATCGTCATTGAAAGCACGTTGCATTTCGTGTTGCTACACTGTACACAGTTTTTAATCTATGCAAATTTATTTCAATTGACTTTTGTTTAGAATTTCGAATATTTTACCGTTTTATACGTTCACACTTTTCACTTTGTCGATAATATAAAAATGAATCGCAAAATGTGTTGGTAAGCGCATAACTCAACAACGCCTTGACCAATTTGGCCAATTCTTTTTTAAAAATGTTTGTTAAAGTCTAAGGATGGTTTTTGCGCCGAGAAAAATTCAAATAATTGCCGGGAAAACCCTAAAAATAGCCTTTTTTAATAGGATAAAAATTGGTATTGAGATTCAATCATAGTTATAGTTAAATAGTTGAATCCGAGATGGCGCGCTGAAGTACATTATTAGCTATTCTTTATATAATTAATTTCTTTAAAATAAAATTGCAAATTTTATTGACAGAACTGACACATACTATGTCTAGAACAAGAGAGTAAAAACAAATTACATTTTTATTAAACACTATCGAGACTAAGTCGCAGGCAAAAGCAAGTAAAATTGTAAAATATCGCCATGGCAACTAGAATGTATGCAATTAAATAGCTCATTATTTCAGTGATTTTGCAATGGTATAGCGTGATCAGTTCTTGCTACCTATAAGGAGTGTGTTCACCATCGTTTAATTTTAATACCGCATAGGAAAATGGCACTCGACACTCGGTCACCGATTTATTTATAAAAACCAATGGCACACGCCGCACGATATCTACCTACCTACTCCTTCGCTATATTGCACAATTCAAAACAAAATAGCAAGCGAAGGAAACAACTTAGCAGCACGATCATGACTTCATCCTACAAACATTTAACTAAATATATTATATTTACCATATAAATGGCATAGTTTAATGTTAATAAAATAATATTTTTCTGTTCGACTAAAAATATACGAATGTTATGATGATTATTCGTGACATTTGCAAAGCAACCGTCTGCGTTTCCAAGGTGGAAATGTAGCGATAACGATTCAATTGTTTTGGAAAATTCAAGGACACGTATGCTTTGATAACAAAATGCATTCTAAAACTGATTTATTTAATGTGAATTCATTATATCGTCGTAAAATTACATACCACGACCAAACATTAAGATAAGACGTGTTTTTATAAAGTTGATGATTTCTCTGGATTTCAATTTGCATTAAACATTGATTAACTTCGTTCGGAGGAAAAGTACGTGTCCACTGGAAGTTGTCAACGGTTCTCGCGCGAGTTGTAATCATCCAACATGTCTGTTAATTATGATTGTAGTCACGTATCGACGCCTGTAGAATATCGCAGTGTATTTACTTTTAATTGCGTTGCAAGTGCCATGAATATTAAAAACGTAAATATACTATGTAGAGAATTACACTCTCTTGCTACAGCATTAAAAATAACTTAAAAATGCAATATTACAGTGATTATTGATTAATAATAAACATCAACAAGTGTTATCCATTCGTGGTCAAGCATTTATGATACTCAAGTGAACTTGAACGCTAAGTAGACGTTATTCAGTCGAGTATACTTTGAGAAATGATCAAACGAGCGTGAAAATTGTTGAATGCCTATTTATTTGCTGGTAGGTATGCTTTGAATAGTTTACAAGTAAAAGCAGCGAGCTAGACCAGTTCAGACACCTAATCAAGATGCATGCGTCCAGTTCTATTCTCGAGCATTCTTTATTCTTCCTGTAGTTAAAATTTCTTCGGTTTCATTATCTTTATGAGCCACAGAAGGTAGAAACCGGCACACCGGACGAGGGTACCATGATAATGAGTATGCGCGTTAAATTCGTTCGTAACGCATTGAAAATATCACTTTTCCGTCTCTCTAACCCAAGAATTAATGAAAATAAAGATTTATCAACCAAAATAATTGCTATGGAATCATTTAGATTAGTCTACTAACGCTAGAAGATGATTTTTGTTTGTTATACTAGCATCAAAATGGTAAATACATAAAGGTCACGGTTCTTTACGGACGGTTAACTTTCGGTGCTTTTTGTTCAAGGCTAAACACGTTGATTTTTTATTCCTTTTGAACCGCTCGCGGTGTGATGACGTTACCGGCAAGTTTTACCATCAGTTACCATCACCGGTTGTTACCTCACACTCATGTATGCTCCACGCATCCGCGCCTTTCTCACCTCCAGCTTGATTTGTTGCTGCGAGTTGTTCGAGTCGTTTCCATTCATATCACGAACCGAGGAAACGCGCCAAACTCAACCAGAAACAAAAGTTACTCAAGCACTCAGCAACACAACGCTGAAAACATACATTATTAGGCCACCTATGATGCACCTAATAAGATTCTTCGATTTTTTTCTTTGGTAAATTAATGATGCCTTTTGTTGTTTTCAGATGAATCTGATATCGCGCTGCTCGACGAAACTCGCCAGGATGACGTAATACACACGCATCCATAAGTATCCACTAGTCCTGTAGTTTATAGTTCAACGTTGTTTGATCGAATCACATTTACATTTAATTTAAATTAAGTTTTTCAACGAGTACGAAGATGAAGTACGTTAACACGAATCTTATAACGCTGAAATGCGTGATATTCCTTTTCTTTGGTGGGCTGGGATGTCTGTTTCCCTTTCTGCCGATGCACATGACTGCCAAAGGGCTTACCTTGGACGAATCAAAAACCATTTCGATTGTGGCGCCATGTATAGCACTTTTGGGACCTGCAATTGCAGGACCTTTAGCGGATAAACTCGCGGGTGGTTCTGGAGGTGGTAATCAACGTAGTAAAACTGGAAGATATCTGCGTGTAATGATTGCTGTGTGTCTCATCATGAGCGCCATTTTGTATTGGATGTTAACATTAGTTCCAGTTATTGTAAGTTTATGAATACATTTGTTTAATAATGTTGTAATCCAACTAAAAATTATTTTTAAAGGTTCGTAGTCCTCCGAATGTGATATTTACTTGTGACCAAAATGGCGGCGTAGTTTTACAAGAGCGTTGTGGAACCGAACAGACTTGTCACGCATGGAATCCGGAAAAAGTAATATTTAACACGTCAAGCGTAAAATTATACATTAAATTTGTGTTTACATTAACAGAGAGGATCGCTATATGTTTCCAACTGCCGTTTCACGTGTTCCACCGACTTAGAATTCGATTCAGACTCGCCGACGACTATATTCCCAGATCAAGACATCAACGGTAGCCCGGAAGAAGGCCTCGATGATAACGACTACAACGAGAACGACCTCATTGCTACTGACGAAGAAGAAATCGTCGTAAGTGTATTTATCAATGAAAATTTAGTAAATATTTATATTTTTTGAATTTCTCAGAAACCACAAGTAGATGAAGTTCTGCCACACCCACATCTCTGTTACACCGACACTGAGGGTGCCGTAGTCTGCGAAGTATTCACCAAATACTCCAAACCCATCGATTTACGCGTGAACCTCAATCCGTCCACAACTCCAGTTTCCGAAAACGAAGACGAACCGCCAGCGATATGCACGTATCCAATCGGTTCCAACTTCCACTGCCGTATCGGAGAAGAAATCCATGCGAATCTCAGCAAATCGGCAAATCAATGCCGACCTATTGTCAAATGCAACGTTCACGAGCCATATCGCTCCGAGAACATGCTCAAAGTCACCGAATGTGGATACAACAATATCAGTTTTTGGCTGTATTTGTTTATTCGTTCACTGGCAGATATATTCCCAGCCGCCGCGGTGGCCCTGATTGGAGCTGCTGTTATCATTGCGACGAGAGAAACCAGCACGGGGCGTGGAGATGTGGGTAAACAATTTGCATGTGGCGCATTGGGTCTCGCCATTTTTGCGCCGCTTATAGGCGGTATTGATATACCCCTAGTGTCGTTGATATTATTCTCAGCTACGATGATTATCGCCGCGTTGATTGTTTTATTAGACTGGAAGATGCCACTTAGCCCGCCAGAATGGTGGTGGCACACACGATGCGGCCTTCTGGCACTGCCCATGTCTTCAATTAGGAAGTACAGCTTAGAAACGGCTGGTTTAGCAGTGGTTTTAACACTCCTGGGAGTGTTTTGGAGTGCTATCGATTCATACTTCCCGTGGAGGATTGGAGATTTAGCTGGTTCACCATTACTGATCGGTTTAGCTATCACTGCTGGGGCATTACCAGCTGTACCATTCTTGTTCTACGCAGAAAAGATCGTAGATTACTGCGGACACACAAATATTTTGATATCTTGCTTCACCTTCTACATATTACACTACACAGGATTGACTTTCATTCAAGATCCAGGTTTATTGCTGTTTTGTGAAGCTTTGGAGATCTTTACCCTGCACATGATGTGGATCACTGCCGTTTTGTACTTGAGGCACTTAGTACCACGTAGATTCACAGTGTGTGGACAAGCCATGCCTGTCATTGCCCATTTCTGCATTGGTAAGACATGAAAATATTAAAATATATCACAAAAACATAACAAATTATTTTTTTCTTTCAGGGCGTTTCCTAGGTGCCCTTATCGGAGGCCTCGCATATTCAGGCAAACCAGACCAGTTCGAAAACGTACACAAATGGTTCGCAATCGTGGCTGCAATTGTCGCAACCTTATATTTCCTGATATACCATCTATTTTTGAAACCCACCTACGCGGCACCTCTAAGCCTACCCCCGAGACCAGCCCCGTCTACTGTAAATGGTACAGGGGCGAGTTCAGCCAACAATGGCAACTACACCCCACTCCGAGTCTATCACAACGGACGAGCGAAAAAGGGACACTTTAGATATTAATATTTCACAATCACAAATGATATAAAACTGGCAGCACCGATATTAAACATTCAAACACACAGAAATCAATACCAAACGGCTGCATATTTTTGATATGAATGTTGAACAATAACAGTGCTTTAAATGTTTTATAAACTTTATGAGAAATAACATCCAAATTAATACCGAATATTTACCGTTCGACTTTTCGCATCACACAAATATCTAAATGTCCTTACATACAAATAGCTGCGTAGTTCTATTGATATATAATATATATAAACAATGTGTGTTCATATTTACTATAAATTTACATAAGTAGAGTGTACATGCTAATGTTAAAGAGTAACTTTATGGAACATTTTTTACCATCGTATTTATTTGTATTTTTTTTTGAAGAAAATGAAAAACATTTGCCAACTGCAGAATGAGAACTCATCGACAAGTAAACTTGAAAGCGTCAAAGAAACGTTGTACAGTTTTGAATTGCTATAGATTCGGATTCGTTCTTCGTTTTCGACTTATATTTACAAATGTCACGCAGCAGACGTTGTAATCGCAGCTTTAATTATTCTATTGTTTTTTTATAAGTTTGCATAGAATTTATACACAAATATCAAGAAATGTAATTTGTGAATTTTATCTTTTAATGCGATTTCATGACAAGTAAACTTAAAACAAGGAGCGTATCAAACCGGCGTTCATATTTTACATATAAATCTCTGTTGATGTTATTTTTAAATGTTTAAATAAAAAATAAAATATAAACAGGCAATGCCCAAAACCCAACTAACTGTCAATTAAATATGTAAGCTTAAAAATTGAAGTAATGTGGGACGATTAACTCTCTCTTTACATCTAATTCAACTAACAACGTTTAACATAACTATAAATACTCAAGTTTGAAAGAGTTTTAATGTATAAAAAAATCGTACTTTCAATGAGATTATCAACCTGGTAAAAATTATTTGAATACATCTAGTCGGCCGGCACCATGTCACCATCGATAGTCGTTTCACATGCATCGTAAATCTTCACCATGTCTTCCAAACATATGGCAGGAGGTGTGACGTTTAAAGATGGATGCTCTAATAGATCATCTTGGTTAACATCACTTTTAAAAGTCTCTAATTCTGCACACTTTTCATTATCAGGGGTTGTCTTTTCGGGTGCTTCAACTGAACAATTGCCGGTTGAAGATGTCGGGTTTTGTTTATCACTAACCGTACCTGTAGGTTCTTGGCACTTCACATTATCATTACTGTCAATGTCCTCCGCCATCTTGGATTCGGTGATTGTCTCAGTAATGGTCTCCGTGAGTTGTTTAATGGCCTCCAGGGCCAGGTCGATGCCTGGCACCCGATCCTCGTTGTTTTTCGATGATTGAGCTATATCGGCAATGATTGGGGGTGAGTTTATTTTCGATGAATCAGGCGGGCTGGCGTCAATGCCACGAACGGAAACTGACTGAATCTCGTTCTGCATTTCTCGCACAAAATCAAAACCAGACGATGCCCCCGCCGACTCATCTACAATTTCAATATCATTCGAGGTTGAAATTTCTTCGATTTTAGAACTTTTCAACTTTGTTAAATCATCGCGACATAAAATTATTTTTGCAGATATGGCCCGCTTGAATTCTTTTAATGACATTTTTGAAGTATCATACTTGGCTTCCCTGTTTTCATTGATAAAATTATCAATAATACTACCATTTTGTGTGGGTAACTCGGATTCAACAGGTGGAGGTGGAAGTTGATCATCAGTCAGGTCCAAAACTGGATCGGTAACCAACTCATCGCCAACTGATAAAGCAACCTCCGGGGTAAATAAATACGCTTGCGAAACCATACTATCCTCATCATCGTCATCATCACTAATTGCCAAAGGGTCGTCATTCCCACTTTCTAAAGTGGTTTTAACGGATTCAGAAGGAATTACCTCATCGTCATCATCATCACACAAATCAATCGCGGCCGTTACAACACTACTAGCAGCTTTTGTCGTGGATTTAGCAGCAAAGTTCTTTCTGATCTTTAAAACAGAATTAGCCTTTGGATGACCAGGCTGGACGCTAATATTGTTGGGAACCGACGAATGTGAGACGTGATTGGACTTCAGGTACTTCAAGAAATTATTGTGCATTTCTTTCCGGGTATAAATTAAACGATTTGTGCACTCGGCCATCGCCCTCTGCAGTCGGTTGTGCAAATTGGCGAGATCCGCGTAGTTCTTTACAGTACTCATCGATTTCTTGACGCCATCCGCTTCCCTAATCAAAGACTGCGCTTGTATCTTCACAGATGCGACTGTATTCGACAACCAGGCGGTTTTCATACTCGGTTTCGGATTGACTACGTGTATTGAAGATGGTTGAGCAGAGTCTGGTCGTAGAGGTTGATATTGTATCCGCATGGGTTGTGAATTATTGCTGGCGGCAGCAGGTACCATCGATTGCAATATGGAAGGCATCAGTTGCGCGAGCGATGGTAGGTTTGGATCTGGCTGGCATTGACCAACGGGCGAAAGATGAAAATTCAACACGGAATTGTTAGATGGTACTGCATAGGAAGTTTGCAGTTGTAAACGTTGGAATACATTCTTTTGGCCACTTTTCGGCTCAGCATTGAGTGTGGTTAATGCACGCTTAAGTATAGCAGGCGCTGGTGCTTTAATGACATCTTTATTGATCGTAGAGGATTTCGCTTTGGTTTTTTTCATCTTGGTAGGTAGGAATTCATCGTTTTCATCGTCAGAATCAGCGGATTTGCGGCGCTTACGTTTTGTGCAACAAGTTGAAAAGTCATCTTTTACTAAGAACATATTTCTTGTAGCAACTGCAGCTCTACATTAAAAATTTACAAAAATAGAATAAAATACTTATATATAAGAAATATTACAACACTTACCTCAATTGTTTATTAGTATACTCATGCAATACATGGCAGGTGATGTGAAACTTAGAAATTTGCTCAGGATCACACTTGAAACAGCTCCAGTTGTCAGAGTTTTTAATGCTAGCAAGTTTCTGAATTCCCTAAATTCTTTTTAACACAATTCTGGCAGAATACAAGTGGACAGTCTGAACAGCACATGACTGTCCCACCTTGCCCACACCATTTGCAGTATAATTCACTACCATCTTCATCCTTTTCAAAAACTCCACTGCCATAGAACTTGAAACAATTGTGACACATGAGTGTGTTCAACTCAGGATGAATATATCTGTCTAATTGTTCCACTAGTGCTGTACCAATATGTTTGTTACATGCAGTGCAATGCAGTTTTGCATTCTTTAAGTAATCCACTTGTGAGAAGTCTTCTTCTTTGAGAACTGCTTCCTCACTTGGAAGAAGCTCATGAGGCACTTGCTCTGGCAAGAACTCAAACTCATTATCCAATATTACTAAAACCAGATAGTTATACATCATGAATTATATATTTTAATTAAGAACAACTAAATAACTTACCTCTGGCGCGTAATTCAATTGGTAAAGAGCTCAAATCAGCTTCAGGAGATTCATCTGGTTCATTAGTTGGTGCTTCTGAAAATCGCAAAATATTATCTTTCAAATGCTGCCGATAATTTTACGACTGTAGAGTAAAATAATGTGAATTACCGATCTCCAGGGGAGTATCTTCGACGTCCATGCACACTTGAGGACACAAAAGTTGCTCCATCAAATCCATCTTTAGGTTAGATTTGATGCTTCTGGGCCGGAATTAGGCGGTAATTGTGCCAATTACCTGCAAATCAACTGCTCTCTCAACAATAAGAAAACAACAATTGTAAACTTAACGACATGTTAATCGCGATTGAATTTATTCTATATTTATTGTTAACATTTGCAGATGCAGTGCTTCCAATTGAAGTTTAATGGGGAACAAATGAAACTGTATGCGTCGGTGTCAGTTTAGTTGCAAACATAGCATGTTTTTAGATAGAGGGAGTTTACGATCACTAGTAGAAATATTCAATAACTAATTAAAAACACATAATATTCATTATTTCTTACTAATTTTTATACTATTAAAGCCATTCAAACTGCTTGAATATATTAAGTTTCAATCATAAAACTAAACTTCTACTTAAAACTGTCTGCAACCATCCGTACATGCCAATAGCTGACGAATATGTAAACTCGTTTTTCCACGAATCGTGCACAAGTGGAAATATTTATCCAATACGTTGCTGGTTTTATTCCAATTGGATTCAAAAGAAAACCCTTCAACATTATCACATACACCAGATTTGCTTTTATTTAATTAATCAGAATGGCGTAAGTAGAATAAACTATAATTTCAACTCAACATATGTTCTAACCTTGTAATTTCAACATCTTGCACACTTCTAGGTCGAAAGTAACGTTTAAAATCACGTTAACATCAGATCCAAAACTACCCTTCAAAGTGTAAGTAGCCAAGTAGTCAGTTCTGATGGTAATTAGTTGCTACAGTCCACAATTTTTGTTTCAGATGAGTGGCATAGCAACTAATTACCATGGGGACAAACAAAGAAGATAACTTATTAGAAACACTCTATAATATAAGTCAATATCTTAAAGTTTATGAAGGAGCTTTACAAGATGCTGATTCAGATTATATTATAAGCAGTTTCAAGCTGGCAAAGTTTGTTGAGGATGTAGTTGAAAAACAAAAGAAGAAAGACTGTGTAGATCAATTTATATCACTTATTGAGTCTTATTCACTTGAAAAACATAAAAGAAAATATGATTATAAAATTGAATTCTATCAGAAAGCCACATCTCATTTATTAGCCAAATATTTCCGTTCAAATAATGATTTTTGTGATGTTGCTGTCAAAATGTTTCTTGCTTTAAAATCACAGGAAGATTTTTCTGATGTATTAACTAATATAATATTTGAGGCTGAAAATATTGCAGCTGTGAATGAATATGTACAGTTAAATAGTGCGCAAATTGATTGGGATAGTTTAAATTATGAGTTATTGATAAATGCATGGAATAATGAGTTAATTAAGCAAAATTCTAATTCTATATCGAAAGCAATCGATTCCATGTTGAATGTTTACAAAATCGAACAAAATATTAAAACATTATTGATTGTATTAAACAGTGATCAAGCTAGTGATGATTTAAAAGAACTGATTATAACAAAATTAAAGCCCAAAATGTTAGATAGAACTGCATTAAGTGAAAAATTCTGGATGGCACTTCTAAGTAAAGATACAATTGAAATAGTTGTACAAATATGTACGAAAAACACTGCATTTTTAGAGTTATACATGAATTTTATTGTATATTTAATTACAATGTTTAATTATGAAGATTGTTCTTGGATTGCCGACTCGAATTCAATCTGTAGTTCGGTGACATTCACCGATGCTTGCTTTATTTTAAGAAAGTTCCACGACTCTGATGATTTAAAACTTAAGAATTACTGCTGCGATAGGATAAATAATGCCAAGACTAGTATAGGAACAAAAGTGTGGTTTGAGATTGAAAATAAACTGATTGATTAAATTTTTGTCTAGTTTGAGCGTACCAGAGAATACACCTTTCACGGCAGTGTTAAAATTTGCCGCTGAAGAATTCAAAGTTCCGCCGGCGACCTCTGCTATCATCACTGATGATGGTGTTGGTATTAATCCACAGCAAACCGCAGGTAATTTGATGTTATATTTGGTGATGTAAGTTGTTTTGATGCATTATTGGATTGTAGGCAACATCTTTTTGAAACATGGCTCTGAACTGCGACTCATTCCGAGGGATCGTGTTGGACACCTGTGCTAATTTATATTTTGTATTTGTTTCATTTTGTTCCATTTGAATTTATATCTATATTGATTAATAGTATATTTACAGCAATTAAATTAAATATTGAACGGTTATTGCTTTGAATACGTTCTGCCTGTTGAAATACAAAGACAATATCGGAAGAGAGCTTCTTAAATTAAGCGTAGATGGCTCTTAGATGCAGTTATTTGCATTAAATTTCTGTTCTTGTGTGAGTAACATACAACTGTTGCATAGTAACCGGTCATGGAGATACCGTATCAGTGTGAGTATAATACTTAAGCATAACTCTTTTATCCGACGCAAGATGACGCTACAATGCACTTATTTGCATTAAATCAGCTCAGGTGAGTTCTTGGAACAAGTTTGCTTGGATTTATCTGTTTTTTGACTTTGTCATTTTATCACTAGTTATTTATCAATACCGGTGAAATAAATAGTGATTCTCGTGTCCATACAAATTCAAGAAGATAGGACTGTAAGTTTTTTCATTGAAATAAATTAGATTTAATAAACTTTCAAGTTATTATCTAATAATAACTAGATAAATCTTAAAGCGTGTTACAAGCATGATTAGCACGTGTAAAATCAGTTTCATAACGTTCTCAGATAAGTTTCAAGTGTTTGTTGTCATAAAATAACCAAGTTGAGGTGATATTAAAAATTTGATTTGTTTATCCATATTTGCACATCGTTGATACAATAAAAATACTATCGCAAATACCGTGAAATCACTATTATTCGTTTAAGATCGTAGAATGTCGTAATCTACTGTCCACAAATGCCCACCAACTCCCACGATTTTGTAAAGCGCAAACACCGCGAATACAAACAGTGTGGCATTGAAACAATTCACTACGTCTCGTTCAGTCATCGCGCTCGGTAATTACGATTAATCAAGCCAGCCGGTGCAACCTAATATCAAAAATGTTAACGTCGCAGACATTAAAATTAAACAATGGACGTGAAATGCCCATTGTTGGGCTAGGCACCTATAAGGTATTTTAATACTTTGATTATCTATATCAATAGTATTTTATAAACAAAATATATTTTAGTCTGGTACAGGAGAAGTTGAAAGAGCTGTGAAAGATGCCATTGACTGTGGCTACAGACACTTTGACTGTGCCTGGTTCTATGGCAATGAGGATGAAATTGGTAAGGCAATCAAGGATAAAATCAATGAAGGAAAGGTGAAACGCGAGGATTTGTTTATCACAAGCAAGTTGTGGAATAATTTTCATGCCAAGAATAAAGTTGTGCCTATGCTAAAGGAGACTCTACAGTCACTGCAAATGTCATATATTGATTTGTATCTGGTTCATTGGCCTTTTGCATTTAAAGTAAGTTTTTAATTGATTTACATTTAAAACTATACTGATTGGTTATAATTACATAATAGGAGGATGTTTCTCTGTGGCCTATAAATGATGGCAAGGCAGCATATAGTGATATTGATTATTTGGAGACCTGGGAGGGTATGCAGGAATGTGTCAATCTTGGCCTTGCTAAATCAATTGGTGTTTCCAATTTTAATCAGTCACAAATTGAGAGGCTTGTTGCAGCAGCTACAATCTTACCTGCAGTCAATCAAGTTGAGTGCAATCCTAACTTAAACCAGAAGCCTTTGATTGCCGCATGTAAACAACATGGAATTGTCATCACTGGATACTGTCCACTTGGACGAAGTGAAAATGCAGGCACTCCTGGTTTTCCAGATCCTACCATTAATGATCCTAAGGTTATTGAAATGGCAAAGAAATATAACAAAAGTCCTGCACAAGTTGTGCTCAGATATCTTGCTTCTTTGGGTGTATCTGTCATTCCAAAATCGGTGACAAAGTCGCGTATTCAAGAAAACATTAATATCTTTGATTTTGTTTTACATGATGATGATGTGGCTTACTTGGACTCATGCAATAAGAACAAAAGAGTTTGTCCTTTGACTTATTATGCTGATCATCCACATTATCCTTTCAATGATGATGTTTAAAGAACAAAATGTTTAATTTTCTAAGCACTTGTGAAAATTTGTTACAAATATTTTCTATTACAATGTTATCTAATAATTATTGTTAACAAAATCTACTTTATTGCTTGTATATGAAGAATAGGATGATGGAAGCAAATAAAACAACTGGAAAATAATGTACATTCATTTTTAAGATACAAATTACTTATTTTAACATAAATTTAAACTTTCAAATGTGATATTGGTAGAATAAACTCCACGTCCTTGAGAACATATGTTATGTCAGAGATTCCTAGCTAGATTAAACTAGAGTACAAATTTCATTCCGACGTTCGTTTGTTTGTCAACATTTCAACCTGAATTTCTAAGGTAAAACACCTCATTAAAACAGTTTTCTTTAAGAATTCATAACATTCCTCAACACAGAAGTATGTACATCTTCGAAGTGCATGAAATATTGATTGTTATCACTACTGTAACATAAAAAGCGTAAAAAAGTAAAAAATGTTCTCCGGTTCGCAGGTTTAGCGACTGACGAGACCCCTGTAGCCATTTTGTGTAACTAAAAGCGTAAATTCAAAATGTCGCAACGCAGTCGCGTCGTAAATTTATATAAAACTGTAAGTAACAACTAAATTAATGTTTAATGTGAATGCGTTGAAAAAAGTATTGATTTCCAGCTTCTACATCTCGGCAAAGACTACCCGCAGGGTTTTGAATTTTTTAGAACCCGTTTACATAGAGTGTTTTTAAAAAACAAGGACGAAACAGACCCAGAAAAGATTGAAAAAATGATTTCGCACGGTAATTACATTGTTAAAGAGTTAGAAGCTTTGTATATGCTTAAAAAATACCGCACTTTAAAGCGAAGATATTACAATGAACAGCAATAATCATAACAGAGTTAAAAATGTGTAATTTTTTAAAATAAAAACAAATTTAAAGACATTTAAAAGTGTATAGTATATTTGAAGTAGTAACAAGTTAAAAGTCTCATACATCAACAAGAATAAAAGTGTCTAGAGTATTAAAATAGAATGTAATGTGTGTAATAAAATGAATTGCAGGGAAAGTGCAGCCAACATGCTTGAGTGAAGAATGTCGAGCGAAATAAAGAAGACCAAGTATTATGTTATGCATCGTTCTTAACAGGGCCATCAGTGATATGATTTATTTTATTTCTACATAACAAGAGCATGGTTGCCACAGTTTATTTTAATTTCACAATATAATATATTTTTGTTTCATATCCATACTTATTGTTCTTTATAACATTTAAAAATTAACTATTCATAATATATTATCATACTGGTAATAATATATTCATTATAGATATAAGTAATAAGTAATCAAGTGCTAATACACGTGTCGCTAGACGCGTCTAAGTATATTTTATGGTTGTACGTGATAGTTTCGCATCTGATGTTGAAGAAAACTGATATCAAACCAAAACAATGAAAGCGTTTGTTTCTCTGCTGTGTGAAACGAAAAACTCTACACATATCTGTGAGTATAGTATAATTTTATAGTTTATTACACACATTTTACATCATTTTTTGTTTCTATTAGGTTATTTTCAACATGTTCATTATCAGCAAGTTCATTATTCGTATAATATGCTATCTCCATCATCGCCTAAATACGTATTGCCATCCTCCAAGTATTATACGTTTATTCTGGTTTGTTATTTAAAGCTGGTGCAAACTAAGTTACCATTTACAATCACATCGTTCCAATCTCAATGCATTCCAGTAATGTTTTTTTGTTTGTTTTGTTTTAGTTTCAACACAACGCTGGCAAAGAACTGAACCGATTTCGTTAGAAATAGATGCATTCGACGTTTGTTTACCTAAACGCTTTGTGATTTTCTTTTATAGTGTCCTATCGTGCTCAATAATAAATGTATTTCAATACGTTCTCATTCATATATAGAATATGATAATCAACTAATTTCTCATAGTTATAGATCGAATAGTTTATAATTTTTTTTTTGTTCTCATATCAATGTAATGTAAGATAATTAATAGTAGAAGAAGAATGTTATTCGCATTGTCAATTGAATCCACTTTTAAATCGAATAGCAGATGGTGTTAACATTTGTTTCAAGTTGTTTGAAGACAATGCTGCTGTTTTTTTGTCTGGAAAGTGGGGCCGTCAATATAACTACATCTTATACACAACATTTGAACAATATTTATAGTTTATATACACTTATAAAGTATGTTAGTAATATAATATGCTCGAATCAGTGATGTTTGTTCTGTGGTTAAGTCTGTGTACATCGAACGGAAGTTTCTGTAATTTCTTGTCTTACAGTCTTAATCAAAGCCTGGTTAAAGGTTAAACATTCATTATGAGTTATAAGGTTGGTTTTCGTGCTTGGTTCGTCCGATCCTAAACGATTGATTAGTTCATCAAGTAATAACAATGATACTGGCATTGGAAAAGTCCCAGTAGTGCTATTCTGCTTCACATTTTTTTAAATACATGCGTCGTAATAATTTGTGCTCATCGTATTTATGATGTTCTTGTTACCGTAACAAAGTGTATTTCATTAATAATAAGAATTAAATGACTCCTATTCGATTTTTATCTACAAAACGGACCGATTTAAAATCTTAATCAATATTTAATCTCAACGTAAAGTTAAATTCTCTCTCATCATAATAATACCATTACGCCTCGTCTAATAAACTCCCTATGAGCTACATAACTATTGTCATTAATGATCTAATCTTCTAATACTTTTCCCAATCCATGATTTTTTTTCTTCATTTTTTTTTTTGTTTGAGATATGATTTTGAATAACTTTAATTCGTATCGTATAAAAATGAACTTTTTACGATCGGTTGATTTTTTCTTACTTTCTTTGCTGCTATTTTTCTGCAATTCGTCGGGTCTACCGGTTTTTCAAACAACGAAACAAACCCCTGTGTGTGGTTGGTTGCAGCACGTTCGTTGAAGGGTTCGGATTATGCAGCTCTTCCAGCTTTCATCATTTGCAGGTTGCAGCGGAAGGAAAAGATTATATATGTATAATATGTACATAAAACACGTTCTAAATGCTTCTTATCGAACTGAAATTGTGTGACTTGTTCATTTTTACTTCGAATTTGTTCAATCAGAGTCATCGCAGGACTTCGTTTGAGTGTTGCACATTTTTAGGTTGTGTATGTGTGGTTTTGCGATTGAAAAGTCTGTGACTAATTTATATTTGAAGCGAAGCCGATACTTATTTTAGTTTTCTTTGTTTTCCTACCTACGTATTCGGAAGTTATGAACGCAATTCCCAAACGAAAGAATCCTCAGTTATAAAATATTCTAGTGGTACATCTAAGATGGTTCAATTAATACATTAAATAACCATATTTCTTGTTAGTAGCGTTTGTTTTCTAGTTCATTTCCGTAGTCGTAACGTTTTTGTTATAATCATGCATATGTTCTATCCAGCGCAAATCTGAAAAAGAATACATTTAGTTTTATTATTTTGTGTAAAAAGAATGGTCCTCCCAGAGTGGGCCCTGTTGTGTTATCTGCAAGCAGACCCTATCAGTGACTGTGCTCTGATTCATGCACCGAACCTACTAAGCACAGGATTGTTGTCCTACCCTACTTAGCGCAGTCCTTTGCAACAGGATAAATACCCGGCGGTACTTTCTACCTTGCATCCAGGGACCTTCCACAGGGTAATTTGAGTCACGAGGACTCTGTTTGTGACCCCGAAAGATAGGCATAAGAGAACCATGTAGGCAACCCACCATACATCATTATATATACTACACGTAGAATGTGTTAAGCGCGCATAGACGTTATGATTTTAACTAATTATTTGTAAAGTATTATTTTATCAAAGTTACGTTATGATTTAAAAATGTATTATATCAGTTATTTAGGGATGTTCTGTAGAATGAAATAAGTGAATTTGTTAATTACCTTTAAATTTTGTTTAGCAAGCAGTTAGGTATTGTGGCTTCCAGCAATTTAATCTTTGTCCTTCTTATCACCATCCTCAGGGTCCTTGAGCGTGTGCCATTGGGCGATGGGACGACGAGGCGATGCCAGCATATCGCTCCAGTGACGCAGCTCGGTTCCACTGGCGTTGTAGCCAAGAATACATTTACCAATCGGCTCCGATGTTCCAATCCTATCGTAGTCCACGACGGTCACACCCAGGTTTACTTTCTGTAATCAATTTCATTTGTTTTTACTTCTCATAACTTAAAGTTTTGTTTTTATTTGCAAAACGCGCAATTTTTTTGAAATTCAAATCAAATTCACGAGTTTTAACGACTTTGCACGAGTGTTTCGATGTCATTCGACATTTCCCGCGCTTTCTACTGATTGATTGACTTGCCTGAATTTGCTCAAACGGAACTTCAAAAGTGAACGATTCATTGTAGTACGGGTTCAGAGTACACTTCTTGATACTTGTCTTCTTCTTCTTGAGACGTTTTCCATTCTGCAGTAGAGCAATCTTGACGTAAGGATCTAAAAGAATGAAAGTATTAGCTTATTCACGTGTGTGTGTGTGCCAAGTGCGCGTGGGGGTAACTGACCAGATAAACCACCAACGTCCATCTTCTTCAAGTTCTTTGCCTCGAGGATAACAACGGTCAACTTGCCAGCGGTCGGTACGTAACGCAATGAGAAGCAAATATCTCCCAACTTGTTTTCCTGTAATAGCAATTTATTAAAGCCGAATGCTCGTGAGAAACGTCAGTTTCGGAGATAGTATAATATAATAATCAAGTATACCAAACTGAAATTTCTCGTATATAAGCTTAATCACAATAATCTTTTTGTTTGCCACATGCGTTAATTGATTCAATATACGCTGCCTTCTGGGTGGCAGTCGTAGAGTTTTTGTTTTGCTCGACGAATTCAAATCCTTGAGTGTAAGTTTTTTGAAATTTGTACGTGTTGAACAAATGAAACTTGTTTCAAAACTCAAGAAACAAAAATGCTTACTTAACAAGTAAGTACGGAGGAAACAATCACAGAAAACAAAATGTTTGTTAGAGTTCGGGAACCCTATGATGTTGCATGCGCAATCAAAGAATAGTGTGGTCAAGCTAAATAGAAGTGTCTGCTTTCCGGGTTGTCTTGTAGTAAAAGTTGTCGCAAAAACAACGAGGTGTTCGGGGGGACACAGAGAGGCGCGGGCGGGCGGAAGACGCCCGCGTAATAAAACAGCGGAACATATAGAGGGGTATCATATAAACAACACCTAAAGGGTTAAATACAGAGAACACAATTGGGTATCATAAAAAGGGGGTTGTTTGGATTATATAGTATAAAGAGACACAAACACTTATTAGCAGTTTCAGTGGTAATTTTTTGCCTAAAAAGCACATATGTTACCTTGTGATTAATTCGCCAATGTGTGTTTTCTTGTCATACTCACAACGTTCGAACCGCAATTGGCTTCGTTAATCAAGGTATCAAGGAATTGTTGCATTGCAAAAATTGGTTGCTAATTGAACCGGCGATTCGGCACTCGTTCAGATTTTTGGCTTTTGTATTTTTGTATTATTTTTTTTTGCACTAATTTAAGAGTCGACTCTCTAAAACACCCAGCTCAAACCAGCTTTATAAAACTAAACTAAACACAGTACGGAAACGAACAGAAACGATAAACAAAAAGTCGAGACGAACGTAAATCATAGGTGAAACAGAAGAGACTCAGCTAAGAATGGTTCTAGTTGAAAACAAAGTAATCAAACGTCCTAGAGCAAATGATCATTGTACACAGTTGGTAATTAGGTCTGAAAAATTTTTCGAATTTAATATTTGATGTGTATACCTGCCTCCGGCATCCGGATAAATTTTTCCAAAGTTACAAAAATTTCCAAAAGATCTAAGTCTCGATTAAGCATCGTTCAGAGATGTGCGGTCGGTAAAATCGTATATATCGTTAGCAGTTGTAATATATAGTCATATAAGTTACTAAGTTACTAATAATGGTGCTGTCTCAAAGTTGCATGCTCATCAAAACTATTAGTAAATTGTTTCATAAATATACAAAGATTATGAAAAAAATTATCAGATGCCAATATGCAGTGTGCGGTGATTTTTAGAATAAAATATCGAAAAATGTTACGCATCTAAATATCAAATCTCATTACTTATCATATATATCGTAAAAAACATTGAAAAACGTTTGGCAGCCAGGTTGCACAAAATTGGTATTAGATTTAAATGCTAACAAAAGGACGGCATGCAGAGAAAGATGCAGATTAAGATATTTTTATTCGTTTGAATCATCAAATACAAAAATTCAAAATTTACGCAAATTTTTACTGAGGTTTTTATCATTTTGTTGATTCAAACGAAAGGTAAACACATTTGATTAAGAAATTTTGGGAAACAAGAGGAAATCATAGGGCATACCAGAAAGTAACGTAGGTATTTGAAGATAAAAAAGAAGGAAAACTAAATCAAGATCGAAACTACTGAAAATATTCGAAATGCCTTCAAAACCTCGTGATGCACGTGTGCGTTTTGAGGGCATTGGTAAAGATTGTGGGCAATATAATCGATAATAATAAATAACAGTGTACTTCTATCAAATATTATATATAAAAGTGTGTAAAATTGCAATAATATAGCCAATACATAAGTAATGAATCAAAAATATTATTTGGCAAAAAATCAAAGTTGTATAGATAATAATTATAATCAATTAATTAGTCACTTGTTAAATATGCGTGATTTACCTGTTATTGTATGTGTGTTTATTGTAATTCATTGTTCAACTGGAATATCTGTTATTTGTGATTGATCAATGTTGTCGTCTGATTGATTTTCATGTGATGAAGGAGAAATGCCAATATTACTCGAATTATAATTATTGCAACTTATCAATTAATTAATCAGGTTTTTATTGGCGTTTCTACTTTATATAAACATGTGTCATAAATTAAACTCGTAAACTTTTCAAAAAATCATCCGGCTTGTTGATTCTCCGCGCGTTTGCGGGTTGAAAGAGCAATACAAGCCGGATGTGTTTGGAAAAGTTTAGCGGAAACTTTGAAATATAACAAGAAGACTATTAAAAAGTTGTACGAAAATGTACACATTGAAAACACTCATAAAACAGCGATAAATTCGAAAAATAGTACTATACGTTTTGATGAAATAGTAATAGAGTGATTTTTAATAGTCTTGATGATGTGATTCGGAAACAAAATATGTGCGTTCATCGGGAATCGAGTAACACAAAACCGAAAAGTTTGCGTTGATGACTTGTGGTCGTTTCTTTTTTTTTTCGCTCAAAATCAGTTAATACTTACGTGAAGTTATTTGATTGTTTGGAAGCGTCATGCATGCGCGGCCGGCACAACCATAGCACAGCCAAACCAAAGCAGAGCATAGAATTTTAGGAAAAAGAGAAAAAACAATTTACGTCAATACTGTTTTGCTTATAACAACAAGTCGAACAATGTTGTAGATAGTGAGTTGGAGTGTGGACAATTATTAGTCACGATCAAATTTGCTTCCGTCGGCTGATCCCATCCTGGAAATAAGCGCAAATTTCCGGCGCCGCTTGCTGGTAATTCATAAAAGTGAAATTTGTCGATTGTAAGCTACGATTATTAGTCATTCATATATAATAAAATATATAGCAAAATTCTGCAAAGATTGTTTTATCTACGCATAATAATAGAACGTCATCAAAGTCAAGTGAATCGAAGAATTGATTGGAAAAATCAAACGCAAAAAATTTGCTCTACGATTGTATGAAAATATCGTCGTAAAAACGAACTGAAAAATATATATATATATATATGTTAAAAGTAAGATCAAAACGAAAGGAAAACGTTTGCTGTGTGCCTGAAAATCTTTACAGTGCAAGCGTCGAATACTTAATTGGATGGTCAGAACTGGGTGTGAACCGAAAAATGTTCGCCACTCGAAAATCGCAAAAGACTGGGGAGTAAAAACGAAACCAACACCAAGGGCGTCGTTTCCGATTGAAGCAATGACCGGACTATTCGTAAATCTCGTCAATATCATATATATAGTAATAGGAAAAACTTGGAAAAACTTTGATATCACCTGCCCTCCTTCGCCTTCAACGCTCTGTAGCTCACGCCATTCCTCGATCGTCTGCGCCAGGTCCACGGTGCACAGCGGCAGTTTCACTTCGCCGATCTGGTCGTGCTTCGAAAACCGATCGAAATCGAAGATGGCGAATACCAGGGTCTTGTTCATAGCATCAGCGTAGGGAATTCCCTGTTAAAAATGGTCAAAAATTACAAAATATTCCGTTTAGTAGGAGTTTAGTTAACTTACTTTGAAAACAAATGTTTCGTTGAAGACAGGACTGAGCGTCTTCCGATGGACCTTGGTCTCAAACTTCTTCTTCTTGTCAGGTAGAAGGTACACCTTCACATAGGGATCAGAGGTACCTCCCATGTCAAGGGCCGGCAAGTCTTCTGCTTGCAAAACTGTCACCGATAGACAGTTTTGGTTAAAATCATATTCCAACTGTAACAAAACACATAACCTCAATATTTGTTCAATGGTTATTTGCTGAGGACCTACTTTATATTGAAGTTTTCCGAGTTTCACCACTTCGGGCTTTTCCTCCTCGGGCTCCTCGGCGTTCTCGGTCAGCTCGTCCATATCAGGTTGGACCTGCAATCAGTGCAATCAATTTCGGGGGATTTAATTTGCATCCTATATAACGAAAGCGTTCAGACAACATCTAGACACAGAGAGAGAGATAGAATGTGATTTGATTTGTTGGTGAAGAGTCTGTTCAGAAGGGTCTGTTCGTTTTCACATATATAATAGGTAGATATTTATATAACATTTGTTGTTTTTTGGGTTGGTCACACAAAGACAAGACAACGAGGGTCTAACCAGCTATCTTGCCTTTTCTTTGTATGATGATCCAAGTAACTGTACCGACTTAAGGTCGACACCCTTCATGCCCTTCTTGCCATCCTTGCCGGCGCGCCGCTTCCGGAAGCATCTTCGTATGCAGAAGAAGCAGATCCCGAGCACCACCAGTAGGACACCGATGATAATACTGACGAGCGCCCATGTTGGGATACCCATCTCTTCGGCCAGCTCCGTGGTGATCTCCTTCGCCTTTTCCATCGCGTTCGATTTTGGTGTTTCGGTTGTGGTCTCATTTTTGGCTATTGGACCAATAGTTTCCATATTAAATATAGGGTTTCATGGGAGGAGAGTAGAATATGTTTACCTAAATCGGGCGATTTTGTGGTGCTATGTAGTCGATGTAGCAATCGCTGCTCAGTTCTATTAAAGTTGTGCAGCTTCTCTTCGGCCTTCTCGATGGGTACAGCTGGCGTCTCGAGGATCTCCGGCATTGGAGACACGTCCTCGACGGCCTCCCTCTTGACTATTCGTGGCGCCATCGTGCTGCATCAAATAAAAACCCCAAGATTGATTGAATAAATCAAAATTAACGCAATTTTATAGGTCACAATGCCATCAGGTTGATAAAACCTCTCAAGTTTTATGTCTAAGGGGATTTTCTAAGTACGTGCCATGAATCTTCCACGATATAAACTTGCGCCACGGATTGGCACCTTATTTACGACCGGGACGTTTCTGTATTAATAAATATCTCCAACTACAACCATAAATTTTAGCGGGTGAAGTTAAGATTTCATAGGGTGCGAGATATTCCTGCGTTGTGTGAGGGTATGGAACTAATATTATCCACCGAAGCTTTTCATCGATCGCGCGTGCATTCTAAAACCAAAGGGTGAACAACTCGAAGGAAACTCTGCCCGCAAACCGACTGCTTGATATTTGCATAGATGCCAACTGTAGCCACGCCAATCCGAGAACGCACATCCGAGCAACACGAATAAAAAACTTAAATATATGTCGGCCATGCCAACCTAATCAATATCACTTGATGTTAACCCGTAATTAAACAAACCAGACATTCTATACGCACACCGAAAATGTAACAATATTGCTATTGATAAGAGATAAGCGGGGTGTTAATTTGTCACAAGTAGGTAAATAGACACAACTCACAAACTCGGTGGGTCCCACTTCCTGAGTGTGGTATGTGTAGTTTTTCCGTTCTGGGTTCGACGGTGTGACACTGGCACGTAACTTTGCACACCCTCAAGAACAACTAGACATTTTGATGCACGGAGGAGAAAAGTCTTCTCGGCTCGCACGGGGGATGCGTTCTCGTGTTTCGTTTACGGTGCACACGCGATATGAGCGGCGGCGGGTGCTTCGTAAGATGGCTGTCGGCAGCTCCCACAGCGCGATAAATCGATAGCTTTCCCGCTGGTGCGCCCGCTTATACGCAGGACGGCGAGCGATTTCCCGCACGGCGCAGAAGCGTGCCGACTGCGACTGCCTGGAAAGCCCACAAGCTTTTTCGTTTTATTGAGTGTTTTTGTTACGTATCGTATCACTACTACGCGTGCTTACGTCACTGATTTGAATGTTTCATTCGCAGATTAGGTGCGCATATCAGTCGCGAACTTTTACATTGACCAGACGCGGCCCGACAGCCAGACCTCGTAAATATTAAACTTTATATCAAAATATATGGCATCCATTTGCAATTTTAACTTTATACCACATAAAAAATATCATTACTGTTGTAATAACGACATTTTTACGTATCAATTACAACTTTTAGTAGTTAATTTTATATATTTGATAAAAAAATATTCAAAATTTTAGAAAAAAAATATAACAATTAATTACAGATTGCTATTTTACTATAGAAAGCTTTAATAAAAGCTTTCTGCAGGATATTCGCAAGATATATCGCGAATATAAGGAAAACAATAGCTATATTAGTTTAGCTTTGTTCCGACAGATGGCACTGCATGTTCCAATTCTTTATATTTCAACGATAAAAATCAAAACAAGTCCGGAATTATCATGTTTACAACTTGTTTTTACCTCTGCCGATTGTTTTTGTTGTGATGGCATAAATTGAAATGTTCTATCACGTTACATTTGCTGATTACACGATTTCTATGCGAAATGAGAGTTTGGTTTGCTGCGGTTAGACTGTAATGCCGCGCACGCATTGCTTGTCATACATTTAGCGTGCGCAATCTAGCGAATTATTGTTTATTACCGATACATATATTTTATTAGAAATATCGATCAACGCGCATCCGGCTCGGTTAGCAGCCACGCGCATATATCTCCGGGGTGGAAACGGCGATGGCGTGAATAACGACCGGCGTGAATTGATGTTTTACACTGCGATGCTTTTCTATTATTTGACTTTTTTCACTTGTTCAAATGTTCATGCGCTGGAGGTTTTTCAATTGATTGTGTCGTAATGGCATTTCCCAGTTGGAAACAAATTATCTATATAGGCATCTACCCATTGTTCAAGGGTGAAAGACAGATTTTTCACGTGTTGTATAAATTTGTCAGCGCGTGAGTGTTGGGTATTTATTGAAGACATTTGCTGAATATCATATTCTGTGTTTTAATGGTTTGCGGGCGGGAAGCACAGTGGAGATAAATCGCACATTATACCGAATAGTGTAAACGTGTGGGCATAATTTCGAGCATGGAAATAATATATTTTGTATTTATTCCGAGCTGAAGAGCATCTGCTTGCCGGCAGAGAGTGTCAACAGCAGCGATCATTCATTCTGCGGCGTTGCTGCAAGACGCTTTTTCAGCGATTCCTCTTTTTCTCGCAATCCGCATGCTTTCCGTGACGCCCGCAGAGTGATTGTTTTGTTTCTTGTGTATTTTTCCACCCACGACCAGAGATATTATTTCCTAGCGGGGAAAATATAGTCGGGTCTCAGTTTTTGCCAAGGATCCGGGCATGTATCAATATCTGTCAGAACGCACGGGGAAACCGCATTTATATGCAGTCTACGACACGGCGGCGGCGTCGCGAAATCGTGCCGTAGATAGAGGTGCTGCTCCAGCGCGATTTCGACCACCAACTGCAGCGACAGCATGTGGTAAACAAAAAAAAAAACACAAACCGCAGAAAGCACGAAACAAACAAAATATATATAGCAGGGGAGTGTGTGTTTTTTATTTTATTGCCGTTGCGTGTTTCAAATAGTTGTGGGGCGCTAACCGATTCGGCGATTTCTATATTTTCAAGATTGAATTTAAAATTTTATAAGCCGATTAAGACCCGGCGGCTGTCACAGCAAGCCGTTCCATTTTACAAATAGGTATTTTAATATTTTTTCGCTCCGAGCCGAAAACGTGAAGGTAAACGCTTCACGAGATCTTATCTGCACGTACTTACAAAGTTGGCGTAAATTCCAACGGCGTCTTCGCCGGTGCGCGCAAATATGCAATTTTAGGTATTAATTAATTAAGCCAATTTCATATTCCCGAAGAGAGGAAAGTTATTAAATATTCTTACTATACTTGAGATTTAGTTAACAAAGTCCACGACGAAAAAGTTCCGCGCCGGCGAGAACGCCGAGCTTAAGGCGTTTTGCAAAAGGGGAGAAAGAAGGTGGTATCCGTGCGCAAGGTACAAACAAGTAAGTTTGTTAAATATTCTTCGCGCGAACATCGAGAGAGTGCATAACAAGTTGAGCGATGGCGTACGCACGGCGTAAAGTCGTCGTCCGCTGTGACGATAAATAATTTGCGCGCGATTCGCTTATTTAAACCGAAATGAGTTCTTTATAACTTATTCGTTGTTTTCGTTTCGCACCTTTCGCGGAGTACACATTCATACATATGCAATCTCGACAAGCGTCGACAATCGATGGAACTGGAAAACTTCCGACGAGATCCGGGCGTGCGTTTGAAAAGTGCGAAAAGTTTTTTCATTAAACTCGCCGTCCCCCTGCCGGCAGTCAGACATCATGCAGCAACATATGATTCAGTCAGAGGAGTCAAGAAAACTGCCAGGGAGAAAAATATTTCAAAGTGGCACTTTTGGGGATCATGTGCGTTTGAAATGTGCTCGCGAAAAATGAAAGCAGCAAAAAAAAATCTCGAATTCTTTCAAAACAATGTCGCACTTAAAATAAAAGTTAAGTTGCTGGCCTAATGGGACCGTCATACGAAACAGTGGCACGGTTAATCCATTAATCAACTTAGACTGGACAATGTGTCAGTGCCGCGCGCAGGCCGCTTTTTTTTTCATCGTACATCACACGCACGTCAAATTCACTAGTTTCACATTATTAATTATGAAGTATTAATTTTCACTTCGTGCAATAACATTGCTTATTCGAATGAATATACATTTAATTTCGGCGCTCGTTTATCATAATTCGTAATGCTCCGACGTTTAAAAACGTCTCTGGCAGGCGGAAATAATTTCACATTAAGATTTAATACAATATTTTTGCATTTTACACATTTCTGCACGAATATATAATATTATATTAAATTCTTGGATATTTTAATGGTGTTGCATTTCCTCGGCGCTTTGTTTGCCGGAAAGAAGCACATTTCAACACTCCACGTAATGGCGCAAAGGACGTAGAGAAGCGTGAGCATGTGCTGAACGAGCTCATCGCTGCCTGTCATGAATTTGATTAATCCTGAAATGTATATTCTTATATTATCCGCACACCTGCGCGAACGCGAAACACATGCGAACCTGTTAGAGGGCCGTAAATTAGTGTAACGAACCCACAAACGACCATATACAAAGAAAACGCGCTGGTGAAACGTTCGCCGTACGTCTCGGCGACTACAAGCGGCAGCGGTGTCTGGATGAAACTGCGCAAAAATCCCAAAACTCCTACGTTCACACACAGCCACGTGTAGGAATCGCCAAGTGTGAGAGCTGCCCGCCAGGTGAAGCCATTGAACATCGCCCGGAGAAGAAAAGAAAAATTAATTAGTTTCCCATTGTCTGCGTTGAGTTTTGAGCGTCTATTTAATTACATACCGATCCGAAACAGCGCTGACAGCACAGTGCCACCTAAGAACAAATATCTGTTCTTGATTTGCACCAGGTAGTTGAGAATGGGCAGGAAGAGGTTGCATATCAAGTCGAAGGAGAAGTAAATTGTCATGATGAGGGTTGCCTCATCGTTGTTACGGCCTTTGTTTGCGGCTAGCAGCGGCAACATCGATATGAACATGAAATCCGACGTGTACGAGAATGATAAGCCGAATGCCATGTTCAAATAGCGCCAATCTGTGAATAGATCCAGCGAATCGCATAGTTGCCTCCTGTGTAAATAGCATAAATAGATATTTTTCCTTGAATCCAAGTGCAATTTCGAACTTACGTTGCATTTCCGTTCGGCGAACTCGTTGATCTTTGACGATTTCGCCTGAAAGCAAAATTCTTCGGAAATGTCACGTTACCGTCGGTGATTATCGAATCTGGCGAAGTTTCTTCATGTGGTAATTTCCGTTCGGCTTGTTTCTCTAAAAGGACTTCAATCTCACTCGTGGTCTTATTAATTTCTGTTGGTGCACTGTCTGAAATAATTTGTTTTAATTTGTTTGGATTTTTTTGAAAAAGGAAAATTACCATCGTTTGAAGGTTGTATGCGTCTTATCGAGTGCCATTCGATCGGATGGAAACACAGCGCCGCCAGGAAACAGTTTAGACTCAATGCGGCGAAGATACATGGTACACCTCGCCAGTCGTAAACTTCTAATAGCTGTTCGGTAATTGTTGGCCACGCCAACGTCACCGCCACGATGCCAGCTTGACACAACGCCATTACGAAGTTTTTCTTGCGCATAAAGTACGCGTTGAAGCTTGTAAAAGCGGCAGGCATCAGTAAACCGAATCCGAGTCCTTAATAAACATTATCGACGATAATAAACTTTAAATATGCTCGTGAATCGTAAAATAAGATAAGATTGATTGATACCTTGGATGACTCCGTAGAAGAATACAAATTGTGCGAGTGTCTTTGTAAAAACGATGCCAAACGAGCCAATAAAGTAGAAAAGCGTTCCCAACGCAGCGACTTTACGAGTGGAATATTTTTGCAATAAAATATTCGCTGCTAATCCTACGCGGGGAGAAAAATTTAGTTATTTTTTACTGAGCCAACAAAATAGAAAAAAAAACTATGACATCACGTTGGGTGTGCAAAGGATTAAGCAGCGTTAAGCACGTTAGCAATTAGCAATCACATGTCGCGTTTGCGAGCCGTATAAACGAATTAGATTTTAATTGCTCATAATTTATTTGGCCAACACTGGAAATTCGCCAGTCGCTTGGTAACCGACAACAGACAACACATATTTCATTCACTCACTGCGCTCTTACCTGTGAAAGATAGCATTGTGTTATAAATGCCGTTCGATAGTGTCGTCGCGAATGTTGCATTTCCCATTGTCGGCAGAAAGTCCGCAAAAAGTAGACCGAAGGCGTACAACGGCACCATGGTGACACTCTATTTCGCGATGACAAACGCCGAGGCGGAAAAAGACCAAGCAAAAATGTAACCTTTTCATTTCCAGGCGCGCGCTCACATAGTTTACATAATATTTTCTTATTTTGCAAAAGACGCGCGCGTCTTGTATGCAGCAGGTACTTACATAGACCAGGCTAAGTCCTAGTGCTACCATGTAACCCCATCCGCCTTCAACGGGCTCCCATTCAATCATCTCGACAGCAACTTATGCAAATTTGATTTCGTTAATAATGCCCCGTGGAGGTGTTTTGCTTTTATTGGGTGTTGTGTTGGGAGTAAAGAGACACTATAAGACATCATCAACGTTGATTTTATCGATGTTATCGACGGAATTGAAGATTGAAGATGAATATTTTAGAGGCTGCTGGGACTCGACAGTAATTGCTTGTAACTTGTGCGTTGTCAGGTAACAACTGACGACTGATGGGATTACGGAGCTGTTTTATAGTGTCTCGTGATAATGATAATGACTTAAGTCTATAGTAAATATTGCGTTAGAAATTCTGATTTTTTTTTGTGGAAAATTGTGGAAAATTTTATTTGATTGTATTGAAAAAATAATATTTCCGTGAGCTACTCGATGCAAATGTGGATATTTCATCAATGTTTATGGTTCTGGTTCTTTTTTAATAAACGCAACAGCTGAATGTTGCGCATTCCGGCGCGCTGGCTGCTCGCTGGAAATTTGAATAAAGACTCGCTACATCCAAACGGCCTAATTTCCATTTCAAAGTGCCAAATATTACGTAATCAGTGCGCTTATAGTGTACGCACGTTGTGTGAGTGAGCGATGCGCCGAGTTGCCACCGCCACCAGCACCACTGCCGCCGCCGCCGCGCCGCCGCTTCCATTTGGACGTTTCGAGTTGGTATGTGCGCGATTTACCAACAAAAGAGGAGCGGCATTACGAATAGCATATTGCTCACGCCACGGCGTGAAAAACTTTATGCCCCTTTATACCCTTTCGGCTGTTTGGGCAATAATCCCATGGTTTTTAATTCAATACGAAACATAAAATTTACTCGCTCATGAATCGTTGCATTTGATGGCAGTGCGTTTGTTTGAAGATTTAATTCCCGCTCGTTTGCATCTCGTGTTTGCGCATTAGCTTTCTGAATTACAGTGTCGCGCGTTAGAAATGTTAATTTCGTCACGGAAACGCCTTCGGACTGATTACAACGTGACGATTTTTGGGCGCATGTTGAAATTCTCGAAATTATCATTCTTTTGATGCGCGCAGCGCACATTTCGGGGATTTTTTGTGTTAATAAATAAAGCAGCTGCATGCGCAAGCTTTATAAAACGTGTCAAACATTAGTGAACGTGCGCGGATTCGCCCCGTCTGTTGGTTTTATGTGCTGTTGCAATTTAGCGCCCGGCAGTCTGCGAACTGTTAAAGAAATAGCGCAGCGAAGGAAAATGGAAATGACAATGCTTTCTATTTCCAGCGTGCGCGCACACAAATATAATGCGCGCGCAAGGAATAAGCAACTCGTGTGGAAAGATTTCATTAGAGTAGTAATATGTATTTAATATGCAACGCTTCGGCATGGCCCAAATTAATTTACGAGAAAAGTTTACAATTTACAAGGAAGCGCTTTGAGTGCGCGTGTACAACAAACACGAATTTCTTTCGAGTTTACGAGCGCGTGCCGGCGTATTAGATGAAAGGTGCAGCCATTTCCCGACCTCCGCCACATTTCCACTTTCCCACGCGCCCGCCATTCACAATCCGGGAACGGAGCGCGTCGGCGCTCAGCGTTTTTTTCTCCTCCGCAACGTTTTTTCCATTATTGTTAGTGTGTTATTTCTTATCTTACCTACTCAACATACCATGTGTTCATAATCCTGCATTATACACCTCATATAATATTTAATTTTTTTGTTAATTTTGCTTTAAACATTGTGTATGCACGAAATAAGTTCATATGATTTTTTCTGTTGCCGTGCTCGAGTTGTAAGACTCTCCGGAATGATTAATTAGAAGATTATTGATCGCCGAGCATTATTATATAATTTCTTCATAGTGTTGGCTTGCAAAAAGCGCAAATCTCGGGGCCAACAAAAAATGATTACATTTTCGAGTGTTTAATGAAATTTGCTACTAACTCACTTTCCTGCTAATAACAATCAGGCGCTTTCTTTCATTAAAATAAAATCAGAGTATATTTCATATTGACACGCACCTCATTCACGTGTATTTTTTTGTTTTTTTTTTTTTTTTCGCCTTTCTATTATTATAATTTCATTTTTTCTTGATGAATATTGAACGTGTAACTTACACGCCGCATAAAACCAGATTAGAAGAAAGAAAAAAGTTAGAAATGAACGTGCAAAGTGGCATTAACCAAATGAAAAGTCTCGCACGCACACGACATGCAAAAAAATCATCAGCGCCGAATTAATTAACGCAATAAAATTCATTTTGCACCTTGCGGAATAGCTTCATTTCATTCCACTGGCCGTAAAAACAATACACGTATCGCGTACTAATGAAAACGTCGAGCGTATTCAATAAAAATGCAAAAATATCGTGTGTAAGGTGGGTGAAGCTAGTAAACATTCGCGCAAAGTTTCAAACTTATTTATTTTTCGATCGCGCACACAGCAGATTTCGGCGAGCGATTTAGAAAATACTCGCTTCGCTTAAAAAAGCGAATTGAAACGAAATCCTTTATTGAAAGCAACTGCGGAAACTCTAAACCGACAGCGCCCGCCGCCGCCGGCACAGCAGCCAGAATGGCATGCTCAAGTTAGAGCTACACACAGCTCAGGAGCGATTTTTTGCGGGCGCGGCTGAAGGGTTTTAACCGCCGAGCGAAATCGTATATATACGGTTAGCAATGGCTGCGGTGGCGGCGTCGAATTTTATTCTGCGCAACAGTTGCGCTAACAAATCCGCAAATCCACAAATCCACAAACTATGATATTATAATAAATTCCATCGACCTGATACATAAATACATTACGCGCGGGAAAAGTTTTTGAAGCTCACGTTCGGATTTCATTACTAAAACTGCTGCATTTCTGTCAATTACATCGTAAAAATAAAATTTTTTACTTGACTGATTTTCGGCGAACTTCCTGCGCGAAAGCAATTACCAATTTTGCGTTCAATTGATCGAAAATAAGAGTAGACAGTCGAAACGATGATTTCACCCTGCGTGCACTCGTGCACTGGGAGTGATTTCTCATCAATCCGTTCCATTTCGTTGATATTCGTTTGCGCAACCTGTAAAAGACGCGATAAGAATATACGGAGTGTGTAAAAATTACAGCCCGTAAGTAGATAACAAAAAGCGCATTTTCGCACATAAAATTTCACTCGGGGGCGGCTTCTTACGGAGGCAAGTCGCGGTTTTATTACCTCATATACATAATATAGTCTTTTGGGTTCGCGGCGTGGCGATGAGCGTGCGTTCAGACCTTCGCTCTTCTTTATTACGCCATTTTGTACCGCTTTATTTGATCTCGGCATGCTTCTGACTTATTGATATATGCCGGTGTCAATATATCAAACAGGCCACTTTTCCGAAAACTGCGCGTGAAATATCGCGCTGGGTTTAAACTAAACGCCAGCGCAAACATTAATGGCGGCCGTTAGTGTCTGGATAAGATAATCGAGTATAAAATAAGATGTTCCCGGAGAAAAAAATTCTTCACTTACCTTGGAAAATGCAAATAAAGTTAAAATAACTTTCGTCACATTTCATTTCGACGTTATTTGCGCAACATGTTGACGTTTGCTCCTTAATTTTATCAACTTCCGTCTTGCCTGGTTCTAATTACAGCGCCGGCGGCTGCAATTTCGTCCTGGAATCGTTACGCGACGTGGCAGGGGAACATAATGAAATGGCGCATTAATTATATTTCACAGTTTTTTTTATATAAAGGATGCGAATTACGTATATGGGAACAATTATTTTACAAACGGGTAAAATGGTATTCTCGTTTCAAAATCAGTGATGACCATGTTTTGGTTGTCGGTTCAGGTTAGCCTGCCATTTGTTTCGGTTTGCAAGTAAATATACAATAGTGAATCGTTAATTAACTCTACTAATTAATATCACAAATATAGTCCCTATACAAGTTCTATCGCCATGAACATTTAACAATGGTAATTTTAACAATGAATTTATAGTTTTAGGTAATTATATCAATCAAGTTTGTTTAATTGTTTTACATTTGTGTTAAGGTTGTTAGACTTTTCTCTGTTTATGTTTATGTCAATGTATGTTATGTACAAAGTGATGCGTCCGCTTAATTGTTAAATAGTCCGCTGTTATTAATTGATTTCGGTGAGGACTTTAGCAAATAGCGCGTCAGATCACTGTCGAAGTTGTTGACCGTGCTGAGCGCGCCCGGATTGTTCGAGTTGGGCGATGTGGGTTTAAGCTGTTCGGACGTTGACGGCGACACCGGTAGGCTATTGTGCATCGGATCAAGGTATTTGTCCTGTCTCATATTGTCGCACGTCTCCTTCATCCGTGTGAGCTCCTTTTGCAGCGTGCGATACTCTTCGAGGAAGCGCTCCAGTTGAGCTGCATGGTAGTCGTAGGTATTGAGGTTGGTCGTCTGGGGCTGGGGATTGCTAGGTGATGGTGTAGGTTGTCTAGCAATAGCAATACGATGTTCAAGAGCAGCGATATCCAGCAGGGGAGTGCAATTACCAGCCTGGAGTGCTGACATCTCTCTTTCTCGAATTGGTGATGGTGGGACAGAGGTCCTCTGACGGGTGTCCCCAGTCAGATTCATGTAACTATTGGACCTGCCTTGATTGGCATGATTGACTCTGGTTTTATTCAGGTTGGGGTATTTATGCGGGTCGCTGAGGCGTCGTGAAGACGAGGAACTGCTCTCACCACCACTGCTGCCATACCTGCTATCCGCCAGTAATGGTGATTGACTATCCGTGCTTGTATATCTCGAGTTATGGGCCAGCGCCCTCTTTCTGGGTAGCGTACAGAATAATTCATTGATGTCGTTGACACTACCACCTTCACTATTGGCCTTAGTGGGCACAAAGTTGTTGTTGGATTTATTGGGCGAGTTCTCGATCAGGTCCGGGTACTTTTTCTCGTCGCTCTCCAGCAGGCTGGACAAATCCGTCGAGAATGTTGAGGTGTATATCGTGGGTTCTTTTGTTTTGCTACGTTGACTGATCGGAAGGGATGGAAGCGTGCGTCCGGTGGACGTCGACGGCATCTGATACGCATTATATGTACCAGACGTCAAAGTGGGATTTTTCATTAAATCGTCTCTAGAAAAAAGAGCAACACTGAAAATTTAACTTTACGCCATTTACAACAACGGGTTTTGGATGTATTTCAATAGGGTATTTAAAAAATTACCTTGTCTCTGGTGTGGAGAGTTTGGAACGGCGAGGAATGTGTAAATCCTCTTGATTATCTATTAGCCGATCGCCCGAGTCCCATTGGGTCTCGATCTTGGTGTCGTGCAGCGGCGGATTCCAGAACGTAGTCTCGCGTTGTTTTTTGGCCGCCGCATGATTGGGGTCGTCGTCGTCCTCCTCCTGCTCCTGATCGGTATCAGCACCCGGCACTACTCGATAATCCCCATTCTTTCTGCTCACCAATGCTAATTCGCCGGTATTAACGCGGCCGTTCGCGTTCTCCGCGGGCTTGCGGCCCATTTCGATCTTTTCGTAATCGTCCTCACCGCTGCGACACGTCCGATTCCGCCACCTGTTCATATTCTTTTTGCGCAGCGTGAACACGCACAGCGAGACGAGACACACCGATAGCACGAAGAGAACGCCGGCGATTACACTTATCAGTAGAGCTTTACTGCCCAGCGGGCCATCGGGTGGCTTACGCGACACCGCTAGTGTTACACTGGCTTCAACCCGCCCGGCTTTGTTTTCCGCCGCGCACACGTATACACCCGCGTCCTGCACGTCCGCCGCGAGTATCGTCAGATCACTGGAACTATTCTCTAAATGCACAATGTACAACTTTTTGCCGTTCGAATACGGCGTGCCGGACAGATTGGCGATCACTTTGTTCTTGAGCATCCACCGCACGTTCGGCTCCGGTATGCCGGTAATCCGGCACGTCATCGTGACGTTGCGTCCCTCGATGCCATGCGCCTTGGAATCGTACGCAAAGATCTCCGGGACGCAAGCGAATTCATCTAGATCCAGTTTGTCCCAAGGTCTGGCTTGGAGTCTTTTTGGCTGTTGGCAAACAGGAGGTATACCATAGGGTACATTACGCCTCACCATCCATTCCCGAAGTGGACGTAGACCACATGAACAATTCCATGGATTACCAGCTAATTCTAATCCGTGGAGGTTTTCTAAAATAGTTAACGAACTAGCACCCACATCGACGAGTTTATTCTTATCCAACTTCAACCATTCCAACGAACGATCTAGGCCTTTGAACGCGCGTGTTTCGATGCTGGAAATTTTACAATCGGACATCTCCAGGCGCACCAACTGCGGCACGTGCACGAAGGCGTCGTGCCCGACCCGCTGGATCGGATTCCCGCTCAGTTTCAACTCTCGCAGCTCCGGTATCGAGTCAAGCGCGTGCGATGGCACCGCCGCCAGCGCGTTATAGCTGAGATCCAACTCGACGAGATTTATTAAATTCCGAAACGCGTAGCGATCGATCGTCTTCAGGCGACACTTGGACACGTAAATCTTCTGCAGGTTGAGCAGCCCAGCCTGGCTGAATTCGTCGTGCTTTATGGCGACGAGATTGTTGGCAGTCAGATCGAGTATCTGCGTGCCGGCGTCCAGGTGCATCGGCACCACGGACAGATTGGCGCTGAGGCATATCACCGACTCCTTCCCGCTCTTCCACTTGCACTCGCAAAGGCGTGGGCAGTCGGCGACGAGCACACGCAGCCAGAAACCAAGGAGGACAACGAGTTGAAAAATGCGCACCGGCCGGTACATTCTGCTCGCCCACGCTTCGGTTACATCGATCTGCAGCAGCATGCACGCTGGTTGTAGTAGCCGTCGTCGTCATCGCTTTCCATTTTTTCCGCAACCACCTGCAACATACAACACAACACCGGGGATGAATCAACATACGTATTCCAAGTCAAACAGAAAATATAATTTCAGCAAACATTCATTAGTTTTTGTGTATTTGCTGCGCGCAAACAAGTCGACGTCGCTTTTAATTGCTCCGTTTTGGAGGCGTGCGCATGTACATTCGCCTCCGGATGAGACTACTTCATTAACGAAAATATTCTTCTAACTAATTGCGTGGCCACTTTCTGCCCTGCGCGTTTTTTTTTCTTCTGTTGATATCAAAAGAAGGTGCGATAAACTTGTGTGTGCAGGTCGTGTCGTGAAAGTTTCATAAAGTCCGCGTCTCTTTTAAACCACTTCGGGCGTTGGGCGGCGGCAGCGTCGCCGCCTCCTTGAGGGCTTTCAATACCACCGTCGCGCAAAATCATCATCCCGTCTCCGCGCACGCGTTTATTTGTATTCAGACGGGCTCCTCTGCTTCGCACCCGTCTGTTTAACATCAGACGGTTTTGGCCTTTGCGTCGCGCCCGTCAAATAAGGACTATCATATTTCACTGAAGACTTAAGAATTTCCATTTTAATCTTTCGCATCATGCAAACGCGCCGCGCGCGAAACTAAAAATGGCTTAAACTACAGGCGCACCCTGTCCCATTTAATTACGTACCCTTTGATTCACTGTCGCTGGCTATTAACTCGGATACGTTGCGGAATTGCGGAACGAGCGTTTTACGACAGCGGCGTCGAAATTGATACAAACGCGTCGTGACGTTCGCATACATTTTAATATTTAATAAATGCAATTTTTGCGCACACGCCACGATATTGCACTAATACACTCAACAAAAGGAAATACCGTCGGGAGATGCTGCCTGCACAGGTACGAAAAGACAAGGCATATTGGGTAATAAACAAGATCGTATTTTACATGTGATACATTTCATACATGCACGAACTTGTTTTCAGACTCAATTATTGCAGGGTATAAATGGAAAATATTACAGTGTGTTTGATGTTGAAATATTGTAATGAACTTTTGACGATTGCGCATAACAAAGGCTTGTTGTAAAACTTGACACGCATGCAAAAGTTGTAGCACATTTCACGGAACAGAAATGCAGATCAAAGCCTCTCGCCAATTGTTATCGTCGGCATGGCGACGTAATTACGTTGTTGACGGAAGCGAAACTCTTAATGAAAATTGCAAGTTGGCCGCGCGCCATGCGCCATGCACCGCTGCGTGCCGCGCAGAGTAATTACAAAATGCTCAGGAGAACGTCCTGCGGCGTCTATTAACAAACAATACTGCAATATTCAAAACCACTGCGGCAGGAGTTGAGTATAGGTATGCATAAAGTAATCGCTTTCGCGACGTGTGCGGATCACTCGCACAAAGGGCGATCACGAGCAGATGCTGACCTCGCTAATGATACATTAAACCGAACCCAACTATAATTTACCCATTGAACAGGATAATAACGGTAGACCGCACGCAATCTCGCATTTTTCCTCCCCTCAGCGCCGCAAGAATATCGATGAGGATCCTCCTCGCATCCTCTCAAAGTGATCACTCTGGTTTTAGTTTGCGCTGAGCGTCAGAAGTTGAAAACGCGCCACCGTAACTTCCGTAATTAACATTAAACTATTAATGCCACTATCATCACTAATTATTATTGGACGGTTAATCAATAAATCTGCCTCTGCTTGCAGCTGCTGCGGAGGAAAATAATCATCAACGCACCGACGTCGCAGCGTCGTAGGTGCGGAGTTAATAGCAAGTGTGTAATTAAATTGTGAAACTATTGGGAAAACAAATCAGTCGGGGTGAATAAATAACCCACGATAAAGTTAAATTCGCGAGGTAACATGCTGAAACAAGTTGCGACATGCGGGCTTACACATACAACGTGTCTAAAGCAGATTAAAACTTTAACTTAATTCGTGCACACATGCTCACTAAGCCAATTTACTACAACTTTGTTTTATAATGTAAAATATAAACCATTTTAATAGTTTTAGATGGAAATTTTATTTTATTAATTTTTATGTGGGTTATTGATTTAATTATTAACAGCCTGTAGATTTCTGAATCTATATGTGCATTTAGGCTTTCGGAGAGCAAAGACGGCAGCTGAAGGGGAAAATAATGGCGAATGTTTAGAAAGTCGAGACACCGTAGAGGCGGGACGTTTGCAAATTTTCCTTAGTCGCTTAGTCCTCTCGGGCGGCGGCGGCATCGATGCCTCGTTAGACTTTCTTCGTTCGCGCGCGCTAGCGTCGCCCAAATATTCATGGTTTGCACAAAGAAATTGGAACTTAAACCTCAATTAGCATTCTTTGCTTCCCCGCCGTTTCGGCACGGAAGGCACGAGCGTGTGGCATTCCGCATGGAAATCTTGCCACCCCCTCGACGGTTTGAATAAATATAAATTGCGTGCGCGTTTTGTTGGGTATCGGTATCGGTTGATTTGGAAATTGTGTTACAGCATTTTGGTTTTAGGCATTTGTTTACATGGGAATATTGAAAAAATAGATTAAATTTTATTAATTCCTTGAATCAAGAGCAAATAGTGAAAAAAAATGTCAAAATGTTGCTTTGATTGCGAATATCTCGAAAAATAAAAGTGATAGAAAAGAACGGATTGATAATTCGGAATCTTTGGGAAATTTTCTATAAGATAAGCTATTAAAAGTATTATTTCTTTACTGAAAATAATGCAAAATCAAAATAAACGATTAATTCATTGAATGAAGAAGAAACATTGAAAGGTTGTGCCAAAGTGTCGTTTTGATGGCAATTTTCTGGAAAACTAAAAACGATAGAAATGAACGGATTGAAAATTTTGAAACTTTGGGAAATTCTCTACAAGATTAGCTATTAAAATATTAAAAAAGTAGTTTTTTATACTGGAAGCAGTGTAAAATAAAATAAAATATATTAAATTTTAAAAATTCATGAAATCAAGAGAAAATATTGATTTTTTTTTGTCAAAGTGTTGTTTTGATTGCAAATATCTCAAAAACTAAAAGTGATAGAAATGAACGGATTGAAAATTTTGAATCTTTGGGAAATTCTCTATAAGATAAGCCATTAACATATTAAAAAGTACTTTTCCATACTGAAAATAGTGCAAAATGAAAAAAATAGATTAAATTTTATAAATTCATAGAATCAAGAGGAAATAGTGAAAAAATGGTGTAAAAGTGTCACTTTGATTGCGATTATCTCGAAAACCAGAAGCGATATAAATGAACGGATTGAAAATTCTGAATCTTTGGGAAATTCTCTATAAGATAAGCCATATTAAAAAGTATTTGTTCTATACTGCAAATAGTGCAAAATAAAATTTAAACGATTAAATTTTATAAATTCATTGAATGAAGAGATAATAGTGAAAAAAGTGTCAAATTGTTGTTTTGATTGCGAATATCGCAAAAACTAATAGCGATAGAAATGAACGGATTGAAAATTCTGAATCTTTTGAAAATTCTCTATAAGATAAGCTATAAAAATATTGAAAAGTATTTTTCTATACTCTATATAGCGTAAAATACATTTTTTGCCAATTTACGAGCAATTTTCGTTTATGTTATTGTTGATGTGAAAGAAATTCGTTCTCCTGCAGAACAAGTGTAAGGTGTACGAACGTAAGAGTCTATAAAACACAGCCGCTGACAAAACCATGAACGTGTTACTTTATCGCCGCGATTTTTCGCACCTTTCCTCGTGTTACGTGGTGCTTTCATATGCGAATTATAGCCGTACATACAGAGCGCAACTCAAAGTCGGATAAAATCTCCAACTCAAAAATGAACGCAACATAAGTGCGCTTTAATAAATAACTGATAGCGACCATATGAAATATTCAAAAGTGCATACATAACAAATCAACGCACTGATGATGAAATTCAAAACTGTACGCAGCCAGCGTCGGCTGCATTTCCATATAAATGGATATTGTAAAATTCTATAATTGCCTCAGCGATACATCGGGCTAATATGGCGACGAATCCCAAGTTTTATACGTGAACCAACATCGAACATACGTGACCGGCTTCAGTCGCTTCACTGCCGAATTGTTGTCGGTAGCGATATCACAATGTTGAGCCCCCAAGCCCTGTATGCGTATTTTCTTTTTTTACTGACGTTTCCCGCGCCGTAAATAAACATACATTTTCATTAAAGTCCAAAAATATTCACATCACGCAATTACGCCGGATTTTTACGAGTCTTATCGATCGAATGGTGCGGGGGTGGGTGCATGCGCCGCCCGCAAACGACGTCCACACATGCCGCCCGCTCACGATTGACACAACACTCTCTTGCATACTGAGTGATCTAATTTAATCTCCGCCATTGCCAGCCGGTGATTTTATTCAATCCCATTCGGATCCTGTTTGTTTGTTAGTGATTTACTGATTTACACCGGTAAGAAGGCCAATTTATAATCTAATAAATATATAGAACGTGGAATCAATGCGGATGGGTTGCTATGGCAACGTCCCGTATAAGATAAATATGAAATATGTGAGAATTCAGTCAATTTCCAGCGAGTTCGTCAAAATCGTGTCGTGGAAATGAGACAGGCGGGCGTCGAGATCTTTGCGTCCCTGCCATCCATTCATGTATTCATATCCCTGGCTGTTTACATAAAAAAGAGTATGAATTCGTCCACGGGCATATTAATACTGTGCGTCTACTGCGGTTGATGTATCCTGAGTGTGCAGAGCGCGCGCTGCTTTTTTTCTTTATGCGTACAGGGACATTATGCTCGTAAAAAGTGAAAGCGTCCTTTATGACTCGGCTACAACCAAATGAAAAATTAAGACTCCAAAGGGATTTATTAATTTTGCATAAGTGCATATGTTTTTTTTTTAGTATTTTTCAGAGAAAAAAAATTAGTAATAGTTTATTAAGTAACAAGTGGGTAAAAGTGAGTTTTTGTCACGAAATTTTGTCGTCCAGTGTTTAATCACCTTTAGCCACGTGTTGCTAAAGCTATTTTTTCTACTTTCACTTTATTTCTACGTTTAAATTTTTATATTTGAATTTTTTTACTTTAAACCTCCAAAATTCACTCGCACGCTACTGGGAAATGTAAGATAAAGTACTTTAGTCACGGTCCGTGTATAAAGTACCACTTTTTATGTCTAAAAACAGTGAAAAAAGCTGTTTGAAACCGAAAGTAGTAAAAATATTTTTTTTTATAAATTGATGCAGTTTACGTATAACATGATATAAAATAATTTGTACTAAATCGTTTAAACATCAAAAAGTTAATACAGGGTTCGGTCGAGTGGCTTCCCAAGCTCGCCGTTTACATCGGTTTACTCATTTCGAGCCATCCCTCAACGTCACTTTATAGGTCTATCTATTTATCTCTGTCTTCATATTGATTACACCATAATTTATAAAGACTAAGGACTGCGGAAAAGGCAGCGCAAAGGGTCTGGCACGTAGTGGCATAGTTGTGTAGTCGGAAGGGACGCAAAGTAAGTACCTCCACCGGTCGGAATCGTCATAAAATAATAACACTCACTTCGATTTATCAACGCACAGCCGGTGCGATCGCAATCAATCTTCACTGACAATTATAGCCAACTATATGTATATATGCAACAAGTACGTAGATATGAGCACCAAATGCGTAGGCATGGGATTAATCAGCGTTTGATGAAATATAATATGTTGTGCACGTAGGTATCGTGTGCGCACGCGTCTAATCACTCGTCTGGATTACATGTAATCGCACCGGCGGCGTGTCCTTAAGTTGGCCGCACGTACGTGCAGATATTCCCAATTACCATGCGGACTAATGAGAGGCATGGCCAAAGAGCAAGTCGAAGGAATCGGAAAGTGTCTCGGTCCGGTGATTGCGGCGCTAATTATTGTCGTGATGAGCTCGAATATGTCCCGAGGAGATGCAACCGCAATCCAGAGATTGCCAAGAAACTCCTCGGAGACGGCGCACAATTAGTGAAGAGGGCGCTTCGCTTAATAGTTCTCGCAAGGCACTTAATTACAACGCCGTTTTTACTATTGCCAAGTATTATTATTGCCGTAATGAATGTTACGATTATGATTAATGATTCCGCTCGCGCGCCAAGACGACGACTTATCCCAAGTTTCGAATGAGAAATTGGATTTACTCGAATCACGATTGTATTTTGCATTTAATGGAAATGATTGATGGTGAGTCAAATTCATTTCGTTTCCTAAAAACCAAACGAAATAATTTTTTTCTTTTTACTTACTTTCATGTTGTTGAGAACTTTTTTCGATGTGATTTCATTTCATTTGTGAATCTGAAACAAAAATAGAATTTTCTTTTTGTAAACGAACGTAAAAATGCTCGGAGTAAACGACAACAAAGCCCTGCCAACAAAAGTGCAGCGGAATTTATGACCGACCGAGCGTCGATATTTCAAGATCGCACCAAGAAATTGAAATAGATACGTACACTCGTAACTTATTGGGTATTAAAAGAGATTTATTTTGCGCGAAGAAAAATATCTCGCTACGAACAGGTAAAGTTTTTGTAGATTTTTTTTTGCCGAAAAATTTTGAGTTCTTAGCTGTAGAAATTGACTGATATTAATCATGAAAGGCAGCTGTATCAAAAAATCATGCGCGTTGTAAGCTCCGCAACGGTGGCATAATAAATTCGCGTATGAATTGATAAAATTTCCCATTCTCATAAGAAATTGGTTCGCAAACAAGATAAAACGGATGCGCGCGACTCGCCGTCGCATGTATCTCATCCATTTTCCGCTCGATCGGCTGTCGTGGAAGGAAGCGAATTTCCATTTTTTACGCGACTCCTTCCGCTGCTGCGAGCGCCTCTCAATTCCACGGCTAACGTGTATCGATGTGTAATGTTAGAATGCATCAGTGGCATCCGTGTATCGCTGTGTATTATTTCGCTACTTTCAACACCGTCAAACTTCTCGTGACTTATATTGACTATTTTCTTTCTGCGGCCGGGGATGCTTGTTGTTTCGGTACATTAGTCAAAGAAAGTGGGTTTTCCAAACAAAATACTACACAAATCAAATCAATTCCTTTCTTTTACAAAGTTTCTACAACGTTTAAAATGAATTTTAATTCTAAAAATTATTTTGACGATGAAATGCAGGTTACTATTTGATGTATACTTGGTTACCTACATACTCACGAACAAAGTCTCATCAACGATGCAAAAAGTGTTTTGACGAGGGAATGCGAGTTATAATTTTATGTATACCTGGTTGCCTACATACTGAAGGTCAAAAACTCAACTTATCGATGATATTTTTATACAAATCAAATAATTTCCTTTCTTTTACAAAGTTTCCACAACGTTTAAAATGAATTTTAATTGTAAAATTGTTTTGACGGGAAAATGCGGGTTACAATTTGATGTATACTTGGTTGCCTACATACTCAAGGACAATATCTCATCGACAATATTTTTACACAAATCAAAGCATTTTCTTTCTTTTACAATGTTTCAACAACGTTGAAATTGAATTTTAATTGCAAAAGTGTTTTGACGAGAAAATGCGGGTTACAATTTGATGTATACTTGGTTGCCTACATACTCAAGGACAAAATCTCATCGACGATGCAAAAAGTGTTTTGACGAGGTAATGCGAGTTATAATTTGCTGTATACTTGGTTACCTACATACTTAAGGATAAATTTTCATCAATGATGTTTTTATACAAATCAAATCATTTTCTTTCTTTTACAAAGTTTCTACAACGTTGAAATTGAATTTTAATTGCAAAAGTGTTTTGACGAGAAAATGCGGGTTACAATTTGATGTATACTTGGTTGCCTACATACTCAAGGACAAAATCTCATCGACGATATTTTTACCCTCCGCGCTGGCGTTTAAAATTTTGAAACGAAACGAAACCTCTGCATTACGGACCTTAAATATTTTATGCCCTTGTCCTCTCGTCGGCCCATTTCGCTACACGTTGGCGTAACACGACGTAACACGTTGCGCATCGGCGATGGCAGCGTATTTCAGTGTATTTCACATTAAAAACTCCCGAGTTTAATGTGTGCCAGGCTACTGATACATACTAGTTAGCAGCGGCAAAGAATTTACAATCCTTTTAAAACTTGCGCCGCTAGAATTATCCACGTAACCGCTCCAAAGTAGCACAACATACTTTGTCCATTATGCGCTCTCAATGGTGTAACAGGATTGCCGTCACCACTGTAATTGTCATGAAATTGACGCGTTTTTTTTTTTATGCGCGACTCTAAAATTGTGGCTCTAGGGCTGTAAAAATGTTTATTTTATTACTTTACGCACTTTAATTTTTGAATTTAATGTGATTTGTGATGTGATTTACACGAAATTAAAATGTGCGCTTGATGAAATTCTCATTTTACGATCGCGGCAAGTGTTTAAGACAAAAATATTGCAAGATTACTTGCGGGTATAGTTGAGGAGGACGCAGTAGACACACAAAGTGTCCGGATTACTCAATACTATAAAGAGGGGAATGGAAAATGAAGATCTCCCCTCAGTACCCGCACGGCAAACGGGTTTGTTGGCAATATATGCGCAGAGTCAACGACGAAAAATGGCCGGTACGCCCGAGACGAGAAAAACGAGTGGAACGTGAAAGGCGCAAAATTGAAAGCGTTACCATGGGCCCCAGCAAGACGACGAGCCGAAAGCTCATGAAGACGCGCTGCGCTATTATTACGTAATTTTTTCCACGCTCGGCAGTTTTCCGTTTTTTTTACGCACGAATCCGCGAATATTGCACTATAGAATAAAAATTTACACCGATATAAATCTTTCGATTATGACAGGTTTAATCATCTCTCGATTTATAGGTTAGAAACGAATTACTGTGAGCTACTTAGACGAATAAAACAAACTGCTGAAGAGTCGGGTTGTATAATTTAATGATCAATAAATAAACTGATAGTTTCATGATTTTACGACTCAATTATTCAATGAGTTTAAATTCGCTGTGCAAGCGATAAAAACTTGAGTGTTTGTTAGTTTAGAAAGTTCCCAATATTGACGCAGTAATAATAAATTGGAAAATTCGGCTAAAATCGCACGGAATAAAACGCGCACCATAAATGTGCGTATAAATCTGAATGGTTTATTCACAGAGGCCTCACCTCAGCTCGCTGGGGCGCTGGATGGATATTACGAGAGTGAGCATAAATTCATGCTCGGTAGTAGATACCTTTAATAAATTTACTACATCGATATTCGTGCGCGCTCTCTGCTGCTGCGGGCCAAATCCTATCAACATTCTGCTCGAGTGGCCACGAGTGCCTCTTATATGTATGCATCTTTTGATTGATTCGAGAACGCGTTCTTAAACTACCAGCACGGAATTTTTCTCCGGGCTGAAGAAAAAAATTTATAGATGTGGATATATCGCCAGCCAGGGAGAGTGGAAAACGGATGTTCTGCTTGAATTTCGTGCCTCGTGTGTGTACCTGTTAGGAATCTTTATTAAAATGTCAGGAATATTTATGCGCGTGCCGCAAATAAAACACCGGATGCATTAGCGAGACATTTAGAAAAATCTGAAACACCACCGGCTCCTATCTTCCCCCAGAGGACGTCAAATGGCTATCGTAAAATTAAAACAGAAAGTCCCCAAAGGCACTACTCCAGCAGTAGACACCTCGTAAGTGTAGTTGTGTGCGAAATAACACAAAGCCAAGTACAAGCCGCACCTAGAGTTTGCAACTCTTGGGAGCAAAGGTGAAAAACAGAATGGGCCATTACTTTACCTAAAGTTCCGGTAAGAAAGGACACACATTGGCGGGGGGTGCGATGGCGCGAGAGTTGTGCAAAGTTCGGTGGTTCAAGAGTAGCGCGCCGCGCGTACGCCATTGTCTCGCGGCCACAATGCGGGCAGAATTACAGTCGAGTTACTTTATACGGCCATGGTATGAATGTTAAATTACAGAAGTAACGTCTATTTTACGATCGCTCTAGCCGGCAAATTCCTTTTGATTCCGCCGCCGCCGCCCGCACCGCATTATGTACACATAGTTACTGCTGTTATGAGTGCGCCGGCGTTTTATTTCATTATTAACGATATCCTCGTTTTGTTTCAGGTGGATTGTTATTGCTCAAGTTACAAATGACGTGAATTAGTACGGTAGGTGCTCATTAAATTATTTTCTATGAAGTTTTATGGGTTTTTATGCTCTAGGGCAGTAAAAATTTTGTTGCCCTAGGGCGGTAAAACATATTTACAACCTATAGGTTATAAAATATTGGATAAATTAGTAAATTTAATTTTTATGAAGTTTTTTTTTGATTTTGCTGCCATAGGGCGGTAAAACATATTTATGGCCTATAGGTGATAAAATATTGACTTGATTAGAAATATTAAGGGTAATAATTGTAATAAACGATTTTGTTTGCATATTTATCCATAAATTTGTTATCAATGAAGTTTTTAATCGCTTTCTTGTCCTAGGGCAGTACAAATTTTGGTGCCCTAGGGCGGTAAAGTATATTTACGACCTATAGTTGATAAAAATTGAATTGATAAGTATTTTAGAGGATAATAAACAAAACACATGATTTTTATTGCATATTTATACATAAAATTATTGTTTATGAAGGTTTTAATGGTTTTCCTGCCCTAGGACCGTAAAATTTTTGTTGTCCTAGGCGGGTAAATTAAATTTATGACCTATAGATGATAAAATATTATATTGATTACAATTATAAAGGGTAATAAACAAAATAAATAGTTTTTAATTGCATATTCACCAATAAAACAGTTTTCTATGAATTTTTGTTGCCCTAGGGCGGTAAAATATATTAATTAGTATGGCAAAAGACAATATACGAAATACATAATTTTTCTAGGCATATTTATCAATAAAATAATTTATTATATAGTTTTTAATGCTTTTCCGGCCCTAGGGCATTCAAATTTTTGTAGCCCTAGAGCGGTAAAATATATTTACAGCCTGTGGATAATAAAATATTATATTGATCAGTATTGTAGTGGGTAATAAACAAAATAAAAGATCTTTGCAAAGCCGGAAAACAATGGAGCACTAGTAGTTCGTGTTGTTGGCGGCACAAACTTCCACCCTCCTTGGGCGGCGATGGGCCCGACGCGCTAAAACTAGGAATGACGCGACTGGTTTTGAATGCAGATAGCAACAACGCGCGCGAGCGCCGCGACGCGTTCGAATGTGCACTTTCCCATTTAATCCGCGCAGTAATACCGTGGTTATTATCTGATATATGTATAACGTTCGTATTGCGTGCGAGCGCCCATTGTGTGCGCGCCCATAGAATGGG